GGTTCAGGCCTTCATCACCAGTCCTCGGTATAACATCCATTTCTTCAGGTTATGGGGGAAGGAAGGGGAAAGAAATGAGAGGTGCCATCTCTTTTGTTTAGTGGCCAGAGCATAGACTGTGGCAATAAATGGGGTTTGCGTTAGATTCCTGACTCTGGGCACTTAAAGGCTGTGCAGGCTTGCCCTAACCTCCGAGGTTCAATTTCTTTAATCTGTCAAATGAAGATAATGTTTGTATCAGCATTTGAGATTGTTGTGAGAATTAAATGAGACGATGTTTGTAAAGCACTTAGCACAGTGCCCAGCTCTTACTTGGTACTCAGTGACTAGCAAGCTGCTGTCCTTATTGTCATCAGGACTTCAGTGAGCCAGGCCTCAGGATTACTTCGGGAGATCCCTGTCCAGCCCGGTGAGTGTGTCTGGCCAGGGAGAGAGGAGCAGGGGTCTGCTTGTAGCAGGGAGCAAGACATGAAAGCTCAGCAGGCTCAGGGGGCAGGCCAGGTCAGAAGGAGCCAGAGGGGAAGGGACCTTCTTGATAGTCCGGAGGTTGGCCCAGTTGCACTGGTGTCGAAGGATGTGGTCCCCATTTCTACCTTCTCTCTGCCACTTTCTGCAAGGTTTACCTTCCACTCATTGTTCACTCCTCAACCCCTAAGAGCTATCACCACACCCCCACCCACTCAGGGTGTTCAGATTAATGAGTGGTTACTGAGATTGTGCTAGGCTTCAAAGGGATGCTGGATGGGGTCCCTGCCCCTGCTAGTGCACTGGGGGCTGTCAAACTTGCATACCCTCCTCAGAGGTTGCAAAGCCCTGTACCAACCTTTGATGTGTGTTCCAGACACTACAGAAAATGTCTGTCTCCTAGCTTCCTCTCTCCCTGAAGGAGAACATGAAGTTGTCATTCACTCAGATGAAGGAGGAGGGGGCCCCCTTGGTCTGGCCAAGCGGGTACTGTTAAAAGAAACCCGAGAGACAACCCACAGCAGGGTGAGATGGGACCCTCTTGAGATGGGGGAAGGGAGTCGGGGAGATGCATGGGGCAATTCCCCAGCAGCAGCTGGCACTGAGGACTGTGGGTGGAGTCAGACAGTCCTTGCCTGGGCCTCTGGATGTTAACTGGGTCCTGATTTGCCCCAGATGGGTCCAGGCCCTCTCCCAAGGGGGACCAGCCTCTGTTTACCACGTATCTGAGGCCGGGAAGTGAGAGGCCACAGTCTGGTATATATTTGTATCATCATCAGGCCAGTGCCAAGAGTGAGACAGATCTGACACTTGTCAGCCAAAAACATTCGTGCATTCATTCCACAAGTGTTTATTGACCAGCTACCATGTGCCAAGCAATGTTCTGGGTATACAGTAGTAAATAAGTTCACATTGTAGAAGGGGGAACAAAACTAAACACATATGTAAGTTATATAGTTTGTCATATAGTGATAAGTAATCTGTAAAAGAAAAAAATAAGGCACTGAAGGGGAAGGAGAAGTGGAAGGGGATTGGGTATTGCAGTTTGAAATAGATTGATCAGGGGACTCTCATGGAGAAGGGGTGGCTAAGTGAAGGGCAGAAAGAGCTGAGGGAGTGAGCCATGCAGATATCTGGGGGAAGACTGTTCCAGGCCACGAGAACTACTGATGAAAAGAGGGGATGTGCCCATTGTGTTTAAGGATCAGCAAAAAGGCAAGGCTGAAGCAGAGTAAAGACAGGAAGTGAGGTTACAGTGGTGATAGGATCAGGTTGGGTAGGGGTTTGTAAACCAGTGTGAGACCTTGGCTTTTACTTGGGGTGAGTGGAAAGCAGTGGGGAGCAGGGAGGAACAAGGGAGGGCCATGATTTGATAGATCTTACAAAAATCCCACTGGCTGCTGAAGTAAGAACAACACAGCAGTGCAAAGTAGGAGGGATCACTCTTCCACCTCGTCCTTCTTCACAGGATGGCTGCGGCTCCTGCCTGATGCCCTCCCCTGGCCGAGTAGTGCCACCTTCCGTCATCCGACCATCACCCTTTGGACGGGCTCAGCGTGTACCCTCCCCTGGCCCCTCAGCTCCAGTTTGTATCCACAATTCCTGGGGACTGGGCAAGGGCAGAACAGTCTGGCTGGGATCCCTGCTGGGTCCAGGTTTTGTTCCGGCTCAGCCACCCCCATCTCTCCCCAGACCTCATATTCAGTGTTGCGGCGTCTCGCATTCCGCCCCAAAACCCAGTTCACACCCCTCCCATCGGCCCCCAGAGTTCCACAGGTAAGAGACGGCAGGGTGGGTAGCTGGCATAGGCCAGGGCTCCAGGAGGAAGGGAATGCATGGTTACAGGGAGAGTTATGGCATCTCACTTCTGTCCCAGGCCCGATGGTTGAGTGGCCTCTCCCCTCAGCCTTGCCCTGAAGAGCCTGCCCTGCCTTGGGTAAGTACCTGCAACCTTCCCATTCTCAGAATCCTCGCCCTGTCCTGTGGGCCTGAGGCCCAGCAGTTTTGAGGCAGGTGGCTCTCTGAAAAAGCTACCCACTCTCCCTACTTCTCTGCTGCCCCTCCTAATCCAAGTCTAGGGCCTCTCAATTAAGGACCTAATCCCTTCCTCATGAGGGTGGGACTCAAACTAGTCTTCTTCCTACCCTAGCCTGGCTTCCTCACATGGCCCCTCTCCTCCCATGTGGCAGGAACAGATTGCAGTCCGGTTATTTGACCAGGAGAGTTGTATAAGGTTGCCGGAGGGGTCTGGGAAGCCACCCATGGCAACTCATGGACCCCATCCCAATAGAACCCCCAACCTCCAGGAGCTGAAGATGCAGGTGGGCCTGTGTGGGCAACAGCTTTGATGCCGATGGGCAGTGACAGGGCTGGAGACAAGACAGACAGGAGGAGGGCGGGTATGGGAATAGGACAGTGTGCGTACGAGACTTGCACCCACATCTTGACATCACACTGGGGTACTCTCTCCCACCCACAGCGCATCAGTATCCTGCAACAGCTTTTGCGACAGGAGGTAGAGGGGCTGGCAGAGGGCAAATGTGCCTCCCTTAGTGGGGGCTCCTCTCTGGATATGGTTGAACTTCAGCCCCTGCTGGCTGAAATTTCTAGAACACTGAATGCCCCAGAGCATAATCCTGGGTCTATCCACCTTCCTGGACTGTTACAACACTCTGGGCAGCCAGAGCCCCACCTTCCAGAGGAGTGTGGGGAACCGGAGCCCTGCCCTGGAGCAGAGCCTGAGGTGGCTCAGCCCTGCCCTCCAGCAGAGCCAGGGACCGGAGAGTCCCACCAGAGGAGGGAGCCTGAGACACCAGAGCCCTCCACCCGGGAACAGCCTGAGATGCCGGAACCCTGCCCTCCGGGAGAGCCTGGACCCCTTCAGGCCTGCCCCCAGGGGCAGACAGGACTCCCAGAGCCCTCCCCTAGGATAGAGCCTAGGGTATCAGAGGCCTGCTCCCCGGAACCCAGAAGTCCAGAGTCCAGCCGACACCCCTGCTGCAGTCAGTGGGCTCCAGCGACCACCACCCTGACCTTCTCCTCTCAACACCCACTTTGTGCCAGCCCCCCTATCCACTCACTCCAGTCTCTGAGGCCCCCACCAGGCCAGGCAGGTAAGGAGCTGGTTGAAGGGGTTGTGAACAAAGAAGGTGCTCGTCTGGCTGGGAGTGGGGCCTGCCCCGCACCAGGTTATCCCATGCTTTCTTTCCCCTACCTGCCTTGCTCCAGCCCGGCTCTCCTGCAGGAAGAAAGGGGGAGCTGTGCTTTCAGTCCTGTGTTCCTAATTGGTTTGGCCTTTGGTTGGAGAGTGGGACAGGGCAGTATATGGTTGGGAGTCTAGGAGTCCAGAGTCCTCCCTGAACTCTCCATGGCCCCTGGCCCTCAGACCTCAGCAGTCTGGCGCCTCGAACCCTAGCCCTGAGGCAGCGCCTCAAATCATGTCTGACCGCCATCCACTGCTTCCACGAGGCCCGCCTGGACGATGAGTGTGCCTTCTACACCAGCCGAGCGCCTCCCTCAGGCCTCACCCGGGTCTGCACCAACCCTGTAGCCACGCTGCTGGAATGGCAGGACGCCCTGGTGAGCTTCCAGGCTGCAGCCAGCTATGCCTGCACAGCAGGCCTGTGGGAAGTAGGAGGTGGGGAGGGGGCCGGCCTCGGCTCCTTTACGGAGGTCAATAGGAAGAGTTGGCTGCGGTGCAAAGATGGCCGGGCTGTAACAAGCTCTTCTCTCTCTTCAGAGTTTTATTCCAGTCGGTTCTCCTGCCCCACAGGACTCTCCGTCATGAGGCATCCGCCTCTACCCACTCCTGTGCTGCCTTGCTCCTCCCTTTTAACCCTTATTTATTTTCTGCTCCATGGATTGGGAGCCAACACCCTTTTGTCCTTCAATAAAGTTTCTAAAGTGTCAAACGTCTGTTTTCCTCTGGCCCTAGGCCAACTACTGCTGTTGCTCTCCAATTGCCCACAAGGTGGCAGTGTCCCCCAGCTTAGATGTCAGCCCTGGGTTCTCAGGATCCCTCAAGCTCCCTCACCTAGGAGCTGTCCTAGCATCCCACTCACTCCTGCCCACCCCACCCACCCAGCAAGTTCTGAGTTGAGTGTGTTGGGGAAGCGGGAGTGGGCCTTTGGGGACTGCTTTTCTCCTTGCTCCCTGAGATCATGTCCCTTCCAGGAGCCATCAACAGTTCACTCATCGCCTCGAGCTCCTTAGAATTCTCTCCCTGCATTGGGCTGAAAGCAAAAGCACAAGACCCATATCTTTGGAATCCTCCCTTGTTAGTGCCACTCTAGTTGGTGTCTCCCTACAGTGTGAGTCCTCAAAGCTCTCCTGAAGCTGGTACCCTTCCTTCCCCGTATCAGAGTGGAAACCCTGGGCTACTCCCCTCCTACTCCAGAGACAGGCCTTGCCAGGAATAAACCTTTGCCTCTGGCAGAATGATAGTCAGAGTGGGGGATCCTTGAGAGAAGTGAGGACAGGGTCAGCCACTTTTTCCCTCTCCGTGCACCAAGTTAAGAGGCACTCACATTCTCCAACTTCACTTTATTGGAAGAGGCAACAGCAGCTGTAGCCCCAGGGCCTAACCTGGATCGGGGTGAAATGGGGGCTGTACAGGATGAATTTTAAATGCTAGGAAAGAATTAACTTGTTCCTCCAGTTCACACGAAGGCCGCCATGACTAGAGCCTGGAGCCTGAAAATGGAGATGAGGGGAAGAGGGGATGGCTAGAGAAGTCAGGACAGAGGACCAGTGCCTACCCCATCCTAATGTCTCTTCTCCTGCCTAGATGGGCTCCTTCTATTTCTGTTTTCTCCCTCGGAAAAAGCCAGGGCTTCCCTTCTGTTTTCTGCTTTCCATACCTCGGAGCTGCGTCTAGTGAAACTGTTCCCTAGCTCCCGGCAGAAGAGAGGGCATGACCTCCGCCCCTGTCCTGGCTTTCATCACATGCCTGCACACGGATGCTTCCCGCTCTGCACTTCCTCCGCTCCCCAGCCGCTTATACCCCGGAGCATCAAGAGTCCGCCCACTAAGGCCACCTCCGAGAGGGGGAGGGTCCGCTCCACCGCCACGTTCTCAAAGGATGGGGTGGCGCCTTGGGTGGGGCCAGGTGAAGGTGGGTGAGGAGAGGAGCGGAGGCGAAGGGTGAGCAGGGATGTGGGGGATGAGGCCCGGCTCAGTCCGGGTAGATGATGAAGCCAGAGAAGGTGCTGTACTTGTTGGTGTTACCGCCATGCACCTTCCCGCCGTCCAGCTTGATGAAGACTTCATCTCCCACATCCAAGTGCAGGATGACGCTGTTGCTGGCGTAGTCGTAGTTCTGGTCCGCATCCTGAGCAATGGCGCTGGCTCGGACCTAGTGACGGAGAACAGAACAACTCACTCACGCCCCGTGCCAAGTTGGGGTGACGAGGGGTCGGCCGAGGAGGTGCAGCTGGGTCTGTGAAGGAGACGTGAGGGTAGAAGGCTGCAGGGGTTGGGAAGGACAAGGTGCTTCGCAGGCACTGCCATTCACTAGCTGCTGTGACTGGGGCAAGTTTCATGCCTTCTCTGGTCCTCAGTTTGAGCTATAAGGTGGGAGGCAGGAACAGAGCCTACCTCATACGGTTATAGGATTAAGTGAGTGTGAAGTGTGTTAGAACAGTGCTTTGCACAAAGAAAACGCTGTATAGGTTTTGCTATTATTATTGTCATTAAAAAATAAAATTAGCCTAAAGGATAATTTCAAGATTCTGAACCCTCTCTGATCTCCTAAATTTGCATTCCGTTCCTCCAGTGATAGAGCACAGGCGTGTCTGTGCGTACTCAAGAGTGCGGGGGCCCTGGGAAGGTGCGATGATGCATTACTGCCCTGCTAGATTTCCCCTCCTACCGCCGGTGGGCGCCCCGATGCGGGGGTCGCCTTCTGCCCCAACAGGTAGACTCTCCTGCCCTTTGGCCTCTGCTGCTGTTCGCCTCTCACTACCAGCCCCCTCTCCAGCCCCCCTTTTCCTGTCCCGCGGGGGTTGGTTATTAACTCATTAATTATTCATCATTATTCTAATCACTATTTACCGTCCCCAGGGCCGCAGCGCCCGCACCACGGAATACAGAGTGGGAGCCACGCAGCCCCCGCCTCCTCGGAAACCGACACATTCTAGATACAGACTACCCACCTTGCCCCTCACAGACACCTGGCATGGACCACACACACACCTGCACAGTGCCACATGCAGGTAGACACCCCTTTACTCGCACACTTTTGCACCCCGCACCCACAGACACACTTGCATCACGCACTAACACTAATTCTCGTACACAATACACTATCTCACTCCCATATATGGACACAGATACACTCTCAATCCCTTTCCCTGGTTTCCCGGGGCATCTCTGCTGGGAGGAGTCCCCAGTGCAGTGTCTGCGGGTCTTGGAGGGAGGCTGCTGCAGCAAGACCTGGGGTTCTGACAGCTGGGATGAGCAGGCCGGATGCGACACGGTCAAACCACCCCATCGCACACAGGCATTTAAGAGGTCACAGCTCAGCCCCAACCTTACACCCTGCAGCTTACAGGGGCCAAGGCACCTTTCCCCACCTCCACCACTGTGGCCTCTCTCTTCCTCTATGCATGTCGTGGACCTTGAGCTGAGTCTTTGAGGCTTTTCTCCCAAGCCAAGACAGTAGTGACTCCGACTCAGATCACAGGGGCAGGGACTAGGCCAGGGTCCAAGGCTTCTGCTTTATCTGTCCTTTGCCTCTTTCTTTTTCCCATATCCATTCCGGCAAGCCACCTGGCTGACCCCTAAGCTGCCACACCATTTTTTACCTCTGCCTACCGACTCAGTATTAGCTGAGGGTAAGGCCCACTGTAGAATTGGTCCCAAGCCCAGGGGCTAGCAATAAGAGCTGCTTGGAAAATGAGCGAATGTTTTCTTTCTTTTTTACCTTTTTCTCAAAAAGCCAAGTTTAATGCCCCACACAGGAACAGCTACCTACTGCCACTGCCTGAAACCCAGATTCCATTCTATTTTGAAGGAGCCAGATTCCAGTCAGTCACCCACAGAGCAGCTGGGAAACCAGAAGGCCAGAAGACCTACCCAAGACAGGACGAGAAAAGAAGCTAATTGGCAGCATGAAATACCAAAGAGGTTGGATGTACAGTTGTCTACAGTTGGAGTGTGAAGGAGCGGCTGCAGCGATAGTAGTAAGCTCTGAGTCCTCAGGTACTTATTCTGAGGTACCATTCCTAATGCCCTGTGAGACCCTGGGCAGGTCGTTTACTTTCTCTGGCCCCCAATTCCTCTTTAGCCAAATGACGTGATTTCCAAGTTCTTGGCCACCTGGCCTTCTTGGATTTAGTGACCCTATTTGGGAAAGAGGTTCGGGTCGCGTAATGAGTGCAGAGAGATTTAGGAAGCTACCAGGTCTGGAGCTAGGTGGGGGAGGGGCATCTCACCTGTCCATTCTTCATCAAGTCAGCCCACATGCTGGTGCCGTCACCGCCGCGCATGAGCACATGGTAAGC